CCTTCCCCTCTCCGAGGCCAGCCGGGCCCTGCCGCGGGGCTGCATCTACTTGGGCTTTGGCGTAGGCACGCTGGACCGCAGGAGATGCAGACCTACAGTCACAGAACTCTTGAAATCATTCAGGAGTCCATGGTACGGGGCCTTTCGCGTCTGTAGGAATCACACACAGCCCTGGTTGAAAATGCAAATAACCCGATTTGGTCTGGAATCTGCATTTTCCACGGGAGAGCTTCCACGTGCAGGGCGGGGTGGATTCCTATGCAAATCCCCGAACAGCGGCCGAGCGGGAGGCCCCCGGGAGTTCCCCTCCCCAAGGACGCCAGGGTTTTATGGGCTCTCTGTTCCCTTCTCATCTCTCTTGTTCTTGCGTCGTTTTCATCACGATAGACAGAGACGGTTTTGAGTTGTTTCACCCTCATTATTCCATCAAAACCCAGGTGGGTTTGCACGTGTTTGACAGTGAAATAGTTTTAACTGTCTATGGAGCACGCGCGCCGAGTCCATGGTTACTTTGAGACGTTTGCTACTATAAATAAAGGCTGCTCTTAACAGCTAGGTTCCTGTAGCTCTTCCTTCCTCATTCTCAGTGGTGGAAGTAGGAGAACCAGGGATAAAAACACTTGAGCCACCGGGCATTCTTTTCTTTTTTTTCAATTTTGTGAGTCAGGGTCCTGCTATGTAGTTCAGCCTGGCCTTGAACTCATTAAGCAGCCCAGGATGGCTTCGAACTCATGGCGATCCTCCTGCCTCAGCCTCCGGAGTGCTGGGATTGCAGGTGTGCGCCACCATGCTCATTTGGTCAGCTGCACTTTTCAGACTGTTCAGACTGGCTGTTCCTACATCTTGTCTGCATCTCTATTTATTTATTTCTTTTTTTTGCTACATTCACTTTTTTTTTTTTGGTACCGGGGATCGAACTCGGGACCTTGCGCTTGCCAGGCAGGTGCAGGCAACACTGAGCTAAATCCCCAGCCCTGCTACTTTCACTTTTAAAATGTGCATAATACTGCTGTTCAGTATTGATGAATATATAAGAAACCAAAGAGTTTTTCTTTGATGGGATGGGGAGGTGGGGAAGGGGGAGACAGGAAGGAAGGGAGGGAAAGGGGAAGTAAAAAAAAAAAAAAAAGCTAAATTCCCCACCATGAATGTACTGACTAGATTACAAACACACACGAATAAGGTTGAGAAAAAAATATTGATGAATACAGCATGTGGAAGCCGTGGGTTGGTCCCCAGCACCCTCTACACACACACACACACACACACACACACACACACACACTCACACACTCACACACATGGATTCAGACATCTTTAATCTCTGATGCCTTTTGATTTCTGATTAACTTTTACTGGGTTTCTCTTTGTATAAACTGTTTATCACTGTTGCCAATTTTCAGCTGGGAATTTTGCTAGCATTTTTACATGGTGCTCTACATTTTACATTTTTCTTTGCTTTTTATTTAACATGGGTGCTTTACTGTTTTTCCACATTATACTATTGTGTGTATTTTTTAATCCCAGATGAGATGAATTTTATTATAAAATGACTTACGAGTTTTATTACCTTATTTTTCATCTTCCCTTTGGTAACTTTTTAAAACTCTAGTTAGAAATTTGTCATCAGTATTTTTGGGGGGGTACTAGGGATCGAACTCAGGTCCTTGTGCTTGCAAGGCAGGTGGCAGAACCACTGAGCTAAATCCCCGCCCCCCCTTTTTTTGCTGTTATCAGTATTTCTAAGAAACAATTATTTTCTCACTTGAAATTGTTCTCTTTTTAAGATTGTGTTATACATGTACATATGATTTTTGTGTGTGTCATTGTTTATATTTAATTCCATAACCCAGCTAGATTGTTTTTGGTTGTTGTTGCTTTTCATTGTTGTTGTTGTTTATTTTTGGTACTGGGGATTGAATTTGGGTCCTTCGATTGCTAGGCAGGCGGTGGAACCACTGAGCTAAATCCCCAGCCCTGCTGTTGTGGTTGTTGTTGTTGAGACAGGGTCTTGCTACGAAGCCCAGGCTGTCCTTGAACTTGCAGCAATCCTCCTGCCTCAGCCTCCTGCACACTGGAATTATAGGCTTGCACCACCACGCCTGGCTTAGATTTTTTTTTTTAGTATGTGTAGAGCCAAGTTTATTTTCCTCTGTATCCCATAATAAGCCCTTTCCCATAGCTCTCTTGGGTTAGTCCATTTCATGAACTCTGCTTCCTTCATTCAGCTACAAGTCCACCTGTTCTAGGCAGTGCCACACTTGAGTATTGGTAGCCCGTGGTTTCAGGGATGCTGTTCTCCTTTGTGGGCTTTGGAAAGGCCATCTCAGGGATGGGGTGCAGCTCTGTGGTACAGCACTGGCCAGCAGGCACCAGGCCCCGGGTCAGATCCCCAGCACTGGGAAGGGAGGGAGGGGGCGGGGCGAGGCTACAAGTCCACCTGTTCTAGGCAGTGCCACACTTGAGTATTGGTAGCCCGTGGTTTCAGGGATGCTGTTCTCCTTTGTGGGCTTTGGAAAGGCCATCTCAGGGATGGGGTGCAGCTCTGTGGTACAGCACTGGCCAGCAGGCACCAGGCCCCGGGTCAGATCCCCAGCACTGGGAAGGGAGGGAGGGGGCGGGGCGAGGGGGCGATGGGAGAGGGAAGGCTGCAAGGTCCTGGGTCCTACTTCCTTTTCCAGAGCTGCCTGGTCCCTCTGTGGACAGTCGGGCTCTGAGTTTTCATTTCATAAAAGAATTCCAGGCCACATTTTTTAAGGCATTACTTCAGGACATGTTTTAAGAACAAACAGAACTCCCTCCACTGCCTTTTCAAAATGTCAGTCAAAGAACACAAATGCATACAAATTGAATCTTTAGGATTTTCTATGAAGAATGCTGTTTTCCCCTGTATTTCTGGTTTTGTTGTTGTCTTGTTTTGATAAGATCTCCTTAAAGTTGCTGAGTTGCCCAAACTGGGATTGAATTTGCGATCCTCCTGCCTCAGCCTCCCAGCGTGCTGGGATTACAGAAGTGTACCACCACACCCCACCTCCTTTATCTTTTATTTTATTTGTTTTTGTTTTGTTTTTTGAGATAGGTTCTCACTGTGCAGTTCATGCTGGCTCACTTGAATTCACTATGTAGCCCAGGGTCACCTCCAACTAATTCATAGTAAGCCTCCTGCCTCAGCCTCCCGAGTGCTGGAAGTTTACTAATTTTGCGCTATTACAACTCCCACAACAGGGCTATGAAACACTGAGTGAATAAATCAGTGAACACACCTGTTCTAATGAAAGCAATCTGAACACAGTTGAAATTAGCTGTTCAGTAAATAGAGGCAGGGAACAGCAAGGGAGGTTTTCACGGAAGGGAAAGGCTGAAGGGAGGTTTTCACTCCCACTCAACGAACCTGGGAGGTAGGCACAAGGGGGGGCTGTCACCATAGCGATGAGATGACCCAGATGCCAGAGACACCCAGGTAGCAACACAGTATCCGAGAAAAGCTGTCAAAGTGTGCAAGTGTAGCAGAAAGACTTAAAATATACGTCCGCCTCAGCAGGGCACCATGAAGACCAGGATGTCCATTAAAGCAGAAGTAAAAAGCTTGTTGTTTTCAGTCATCATGAAATGATGTGTTGTTGTTTCTCTCTTTTTTTAAAAAAGAAAGTATCATTTGTATGTGTTTTCCCCCCTGGTGACAAATGATCATTAGCATCAGGCAGAACAAAATCTACCACGGAAATCCATAAAAATGATGGTTCTGGGTCCGATTGGCTATAAAATATCCAATTAATTCAAATTAAGCCCGTCTGGCCAATTTGACGACTGCTCAATTTGTCAAAGAAATTACTTGTCAAATTTACCAAATGTGCCGGCTGTGCTTTTCAGAGCTTTTGAGAGGAAAGCTGAATTTGATTACTGATGGTGAAAAATTCTTTTCTGCATATTAACGAAGCTAAGAATGATCCCGGCACCAGAGAAATTGAAACGATGCAAAACTGCACAGGCTGAAGATCCTCGAAGTAGGAAATGCTGTTTTTCCAGCCAAAATGCTGCCCTTTCATCTGCGATGGGTTTGTGATTTTTTTTTTTTCAGAGGCTTTGGAAAGTTATTTTTCCCTCCACGCTTTAGGCATTTAACACATCAGCCTTACTTTTGCACTTCTAACGAACTGTAATTAGGCTTGAAGTTCATTTTAAGGTTAATGAAATGAAAAAAATGTAAACTCAAAAGAATCTTGGGGGGAGGATCAGAATTTTTGCCATTGGCTGTTCAATGAATTCAGATTGGAAAACTAAAGCTTTGGTGAATCAGCTTACTTGAAAAAACCTGCTGTCCCTGGGAACCTTGGGCCGACCCCACCCACACAGAAAACAGACTGAATTATTTCCTCCAGGTGCTCTTAGGCGCCTGTTGAAAGTGGCTGCTGCCGAAAAGAAGAGCGGCAAGCAGTGAAAGTCTGAAGGTCTGGATCCTGGGCCAGTAGGAAAGGGCCACACTACTTCCACCTCTCCTCCCTCCCCTGAACGACTAGAATTAACTTTAGTTTCCAAACAAAATGGGCTGGGGGTGAAGTTCAGCAGTAGAGTTGGCGCCTAGCATGCACCAGGTCATATGGGTTCCATCCCCAGCACACTGAAAACACACACACACACACACACACACACACGTGTGCGTGCAGTACTGGGGATTGAACCCAGGGCCTTCTCACTGAGCCACATCCCCAGCCCCTTTTTGTGTTTTATTTTAAGACAGGGTCTGGCTAAGTTGCTAAATTGCCCAGGTGGCCCTAAATTCTTGGTCCTCCTGCCTCAGCCTCCCTGGGATTACAGGATTACTATCCCCTGGCTAGTGGCCACGCCCTCTTCCTCTTTGTCCTCGCCCTCCTGGCCCCTTACCCGTGGAGCTCCTTGCAGAGCTGTGAGGTCAACTTCTTCAGGTGGGGGAGGCTGCTGGAGCCCGTCTTCACGAAGTCAGAATCCAGGGCTAGCTGGGTGCTCAGGTACTCCTGGATGGCTTTCAGGTGCTCTTCCGGAAGCCTGCGAAGACAACGGGAACAAAAAAGCCTGCCTCCTCTGTCCCCTTTGGCCACCAGCAGCCACACAAGCACGAGGGCAGCTGGAAGATCCTCAGTGATGCCACCCTTCAGGAAGACACCTGCACAGCCGCGGGACGGGCCGCTCTCGGGACAAGCACCTTTGGGTGCTGGGGTCGGGGAGATGGTTACTATTTGAAAGGGAGATGAGAAGGCTGTGAAATGTATCCTGGGGGACTGCGTCGAGGGGTTTGGGGGTCACCTCAGCCTCTACGGGGAAGTTGGTGTGACTAGCAGTGGGGCTGGAAAGAGGCAACCAGGTAGTGGCTGCCCAGGTGCCCGACAGGCTGGGTGCTGTCCAGTGGCCCACCCCGATCTGGTCCACTCCCTTCAATCTGCAAGGTAAATAAGAAGATGGGGCAGGATCTGCAGCCAAAGGCAAAACCTTTGGTCCTTGCTGGGGGACTGTCACCGAATCAGACCGCCTCACTGTATCTCCCAGGACTGCGTTTATTTATTTATTTATTGATTGATTGCAGTACTGGAGATCGAACTCAGGACTTCATGCTTGTGCGGCAGGCATGGTACTTTATTTATTTATTCGTTCATTTTTGTGGTACCAGGGATTAGGTCCAAGGCCTTCACAATGAGCTACATCTTCAGCCTATTTAAAATTTTGAGATAGAGTCTTGCTAAATCGTCCAGGCTGGGCTTCGGATTGTGATCCTCCTGCCTCAGCTTCCCACAGTGCTAGAATTACAGGCGGGTACCCCAGCATATTTTATTCTGGGTTCCTTTTCTTTGTTATCCACGGTAGCAAACATCCCAGAGCATAACATACCAGACACTAATGCTCATTTTCTTCTTTAACACACAAGTCAATTTTAGGAAGAAGATATTGTCGTGGTTACTCCTGTTTCACAAATGTGGAATCTGAGGCTGATGCACATTAATTACCTGAGGGATAAATTACGGCAAGCCTTAAAGATCTGCGTTTTGGCTTTGATCACATCGAAACAAAGGCCACACAGGGTCTTTCTGTGGGGTGAAGAATGAAAACCTGTTTCTCTGCAGATAGGACAGAGCGGGATTAGCTGTTTTGACCGTGGAGATGGAGGGGAAGAATCAGCAAATGCATACACAACAGTCACTCTGATATCTGACTGAGACTTGCATTTATTCTGGGTCTGGACATCATAAAAACCCAGTTTTGTCTGTTCCCGAAAAAGCACAAATATCTTTCCTACAGTATTAAAATAGGTATCACTGGGCATGGTGGCACACACCTGTAATCCCAGCACTCAGGAGGTTGAGGCAGGAGGATCACTCACCAGGAGGCTAAACTCGAGTCCAGCCTGAGCTACACAGTGAGTTCAAGGACTCCCTGGAGTACAGAGCAAGACCCTGTCTCTAAAATAAAGTATATATCAAGGGCTAAGGGTGCGGCTCATGGCTGAACATTGCTTAGCATGCAAGGGCATGAGTTTGGTCTCCAGCGCTGCATAAACCAACAAATATTAGTAACACTGTCTCCGAAAAGTTCTAATGACTGTTACTTTGACACCAGGAGGCTTTGTTGCTTTAACTGACATTTGTTAAAACACTCGTTGCCGAGAAAGCTTGGCGTAAAAATACAGACTCTTTACTAGAGAAAGCGAATTTTGCCTACCTAATGAGATCTGACCAGTTTGACTAAGTGACTCACGGATTGTCCCATGATGAAGGAGAATCCAAAGCGGGTCCGTGTGAAAGGAAACTCGAGCAAAGTTGATGTAAGTCGAGAATCCCAATGGTGAAACGCTCAGGTCCTCTGCACCCCGAACGCAGACAGCAAGCTGGACGCCCACCAAAGCAGACCCCAGCCCTGCGACTGGCCTGACCCAGGGACCCCTGAGGAGGTGGGGCCTCACCCCGGAGCTCACCACGTTAGCCATCTAAACCCGGGGAGGGGTGGAAGTCCAAGGAGCTGTAACAAGTGCCCTCCGTGGCATATTTCAGTAAGTGTTGGTTGTTATTACTTGGGGTGCTGGAGAAAGAACCCAGAGCCTCGCACCCGGCCCAGCCCTGGTCGTGCAGACACACATATCGGGGTGATCATGGCACTGTACCAACCTGTGCAGCGCACTGGCTATTCGGCTCTTGGATAAACAGCACCGAGCCGAAGGCGCACACAGGGAGTACAAGCTGGTGGGCCTGACAAAGAGCCAGTGGGCGCGTCCAGTGGGGACAAAACCACCGCGTGTCCTAGCCACCAGAGACTTCCTTTGAGTTTTGTCAGAGAGGAGGACAGTCCTGGGAAATCTCCAATAGGTCTTTCAGGTTGGAAAAGCAGCACCAGTCCTGCCATTAAGATTCTTCTTTTGGGGAGGTGGGGAAATCTTTTCTTACAGAGAACAACTACAACAGAAAAGATGTAGGCATTCAGGCGTGGCAGTGATGGTGCACTGACTGATTCATTCACCCCACGCACATCTGGTGTGGGGAAGGGGACACCTGAACAGCCGCCTGTCCCCTGGTGGAGCTGGGGCTTCCAGGAGCAAGCACAGAGGGCAGGTGGCTGAGAGTCGCGTCCCCTCACGCTGGCGGCCCCAGGAGGGTCTTTATGATCAGGCCTCACACAAAAGGGGAGGTGAGGGAAGCTTATCTGGCAGATGGAAAAGCAATGTGAAGTCTCTGTGTCAGGGCTGCATCTGGTGGGCTGGCAACAAGAAAAGCAGATCCTTTTCATTCCCTTCAGGATCCTTGGTCCCCCTCCTCCCTCCTCTCCCAGCTTCAGGAAGCAGAGCCGCCTGGATCAGCTCAGGGCTCCCCCATCCACCCGGCTTCCCTTGGGGCGGGCAGGAGGGAGAGGGGACATCCGGGTGTCTCTGCTCCTCCCGACTCCTGCCTGGGCCACAGGATGAGCGTGATCCTCCAGCAGGCACAGGGGAAACCCTAGGCCCAAGCCTTCCCTGCACGGCCCAGAGTCAGCTGCCGGTGAGTGACCACGCTGGGCCGGCCCCGAGCCGGGAACGGTGAGGAGGGGCAAGGGAATTTAAGTCTGCGGATCCCCAACCTGCAGCCCACCTTGTCTTCTCCCTTTGGTCACTCTGTCCCTTTGGCCCCTGTCACACACACACCCCGGATGGTGCCACGACCTGGTCACCAGGCCGAGGGGCCAGCACCTCACACAGCACTTTGGACAGACTTCATCTCTATTGTCACTTTGCCCTGTGCTCCCTGCTCGTGTGTCCTCCTAGGACCTGAGCGCAGCGGGCGCTGACCCTGCAGCTGGCCTTTCTGGGTGTGGCCCGTGAGAGGCAGGGTTCCGCTGCATCTGACTGTGTGGGGATGCAGGAAGGCGTCACTACAGCCTTCCGGGTGACTATGGGTGTCCAGGTGAATGACAGTGACCTTCTAAGCACAAAAGAGATTTTGTGCTCACAAAAGGAATAACTGGTATACTTTAGAAAGATTTAAAGCTTATAAAAACATTCTCAAGACTTGAAAAGTAAGCAAGGAGCTAGAAGCTAGTTTTTATTTCCCCCCCATAAAAATGATGGACAAAGGGTTAATGTGTGAGGTGTGATCAAAATATGTGGTGAGCCAGGCGTGGTGGTGCATGCCTGTCATCCCAGCACTCGGGAGGCTGAGGCAGGAGGATCCCTGTGTGTTTGAGAGCAGCCTGGTCGCCTGGTCTACATAGTGAGTTCCAGGTCAATCTCAACTACATAGTGAGACCCTGTCTCAAAAAACCG